TCGACCAAGTGGATATTGAAATTCTATCCTACAAAGTCTACGGCTTCAAAACCCGCTTTGATCGGCTATGCAATCCGAGATGAGAAGCACTTTGTAGTTGTTGCTACAGAAGGTAGCTACACCCGAACACTCCCCATTCACCCCCCGCTGGCCCTTTTGCATTAATACCTCCTAGACGCCCTAGGGTCTTAACTTTTGGAACACCTGAGCAACACCCATTGGAAGTTAATCACCCCACTGTACCCAACACGGCTCAAAGGACCCAACGCTCTGTCGCTAAGCAAGCCCATACAGGAGCGTAGAGTAACACGATAGTCGAAGCACTTGTTAGCCAGAAAAAGATCAGGGGATACATACAAGGCTCGATAGAAGAGATCTAGAATAGGATCCAACCCACGCTTACATTCCAAAGGCCATATTCCAACCATATCCTATACAAACCCTACCCTACTGGCTATGCACAACTACAAAAGTGGCCCCTGTATGATGGCCAGAAGGGAAGCCCATAGGAACACGTCAACAAATTCGAAGATGCCCTAGGGGTGTTCACCTTGGATGGTGATCTAAAGGTCTAGGAGTTTTCCAAATCATTGACTGGCCCAACCTACTCCTGGTTTATCAACCTGATGGCCAGAAGTACAGACTCTTGGCTGGAATTCACAAAGAAATTCTTGTCCAAATAGTTCACCCTTGAGTGGAGACTAACATAGCCAATCTTCAAAACACAGAGAGCAATGTATTGGAGAAGATCTTTTGATTGATGACATGTGCTTCCATAGTCTAACTTACTTTGTTTTTGAAGAACATTCAACAAAGAAAAGCTTCGTGGAGCAGTGTATATAAGGGATGCATCCAACTTATAGGATCGACATTGAAAACATTGAGATAGAGACTTTCAACTAGCTCTATAAGTGCGCCGAGAGGACGGTGCAAACTGTTACCACTCTTGGGACATAGACTGCCTCACTAGGATTGTCATATGATAGGTTGGAAGCATACACTGTCGATTGCAAACCTTGTAGCACCAGAGCACCCAGCCAAGGACCATACTATCATAGTAGTGGCCCAAAATTGGTAGAATAATTCCTCATTACCACCATCCGCATCGATATTAGCCTATAGTAAAATTGAAATAATTATGATCATGAACAAGCTAGTAGAGGATCATGTCATCTACCTGCCTCCATCGCCTATTGGGATTGACCCTGAGAAAGACAAGCACAAACCATGGTGGTGCAATTACCACCAATCCCCAAACCATGACTTGATGGACTGTTTCACCTTACGATGACTTTTCGCCCAAAAAGTTAAATTGGATGATTACGTCAAGAGGAAGCCAACCCAAGTAGAGACTAACCCCCTCTCCGCACATCCACAAGGAAGGAGTATTAATGTTGTAGGCACTTTAGTCGGTGACAGTACCAACGTGGATAAGCTAGTCCAGCATTTTGAGCAAAGCGCTAATCTCCAGCACTTTTTCAGCAAACAAGGAGCAAGTAGCACAATCCAAAGACTCACCATCAAAGCATTGGTAGAAACCTTCAGAAAGTTGTTGGAACCACACCGCATGGACAAGCTGAATGTTGAGTTTACAATGGAAGACATGCTCGCCATCGACCCCCACCACAATTGGCCTCTATAAATAATAACCAAAATAGGGGGCTACGAGATACAAACACTCGCTGATCAATCAGGGTACCTCCGCAAACCTCATCTCAGTACACACACTAAAACTAATGAATGTAAAAGAGAATGTGGTCAAAGGCCTACCCATTGAGTTCACGAACTTCAATGGTAATTCATCGGTCATTGAAGGCTCCCTCATGCTTCCAATTTCCATCGGGACTTTCTTCACTGAGCAAGAGTTTCAAGTGATTTTGGGGAAAACCACCTACCACACTCTCCTCAGATGGCCATTGATACACTATCTGGGGCTGGTCTTGTCCACTTAAGATACGTCCTTTAATCTTATATTGGTAATTAAACTTTTTCCAATATAAGTTTTTTAAAATCTAATGAATTGTTGGGGAAACATTAGATTTTTAAAGGAGTTCAGTTATAAGACAAGGAAAAAAAATAAAAAACTTGAATACAATAACTTGTCAAGAAAGCATATGTGATTAGAAGTGTGGGAGGAGAAACTTGAAAAGGTCGCCTAGCCTATAAAATATAAGGATAATTTTGGTAGAAAATATGGATAGGTATATGGATTAGGAGACTCGTATCAACAATGGTTATCTTTGATATTTATTTATAAAAGTTGTCTTCCTCAACCCATATAAAGACACATGTGGCTTCTTCATCTATTGTGCCTTAAAAGAAAGATATACTAGATATGGTAGTATTATATTTTGGATATCCTCTTATAGTGGCATTGCATGTCCTAACTGCTAACGTGGGTTTTGGCTAAATTCAGTAGGGAAAACATGGGCATCCTTATTTTGATAATATGATTAATGATAATTAACTAAAGGGAAGTGACATAATAGTGTTGGTTATTGTGTGTAAACCATCTTTTCAATGGCAATTTAGTAATATAGAGCCATATATACCAACTTGGTAAAAACTTATCAGAATGGGATTAAGATGTTAATTTCAAATTTAAGAACATGCAAAAAGTATTACAAGTGTGTAATAATGTGTGAAAATGAATGAAACAATAATTAACAAATAAAAACCATCACGCAAAAACCATAGTTACACTTTTGGTTACCCTCCTATGGTGACATTATTGCCTTAACAACTAGCCTGGTATAGATTTATCAAGCTGGGTCTACAGTATTGACTTGGTTCATTACCAAGGGTATGACCACTCATTTAGATAGCATGAATCATAGAGATAATCTCATTGAAAAGTGTCTTGTGTAGTCTACCATTAATTTAGGTTGGAACATCATTGTCATGTGCCTTCACTATTTAATTCAACTTATCAATACTATTTTTGTAATTTTTACCAATATGGCAGTTAGGGCATGTAAGACCAAAACTCAGGGGGGTGAGTGCACAATAACTAACACTAATAAGAAGTTGTTATTTCTTTCCCAATCAGTGCAACCAACATCTCATGCCTATATAGGTAAACTTTTCTATTGGTAGTTACAACAAATAACACCAACATTTGGAAAGGCCAAGTGCATGATATTTGGTAATACTATATATATCCTTGTTTATGAAGTCAACATTATGCTTCAGAAAGGGCAATAAAAAGCTCATGTTCTTGTTGATCAATTTAACCAACCCTATTACGTGGTATAAATTAAGTCTTAATGGTGTAATATGAATTCTTATTAAGAATGGTAATGTCCTTGTCAATGAACTAAGCCAATGCCTTGATCCCATCTTGATAGATGTTTACCTAACTGGAAATTAGAACATTCAAGGCATATATGAGTATGACCAAAGTGAAACTAACACTGTTATATGTAGTTTATGTTTGATTATTATTGTAAAACAACATTGAACATCCATGGCAGTTGCCATGTGTCCTCACTCATAAAATCAACCCATCAATCCTATCTTACTAAATTGTTACAAAGATGGCAATTGGGCATGTAAAATCAATATGGAAAGGGTGAGTACCCAATATGTGAAATACCTATGATGGTTTCCATATATCCTTGCTCTTAAGATAAGTCCTTTAATGTTATATTAGTAATTAAACTTTTACCAAGATGGAAATTAGGACATATAAGGCCAAACTAGGAAAGGTGAACATGCAATTACTAACATTATTATACCACGTCCATTAAATATTAATGGTGATACATTTATGAGAATTACCATATAACCTTGCTCTTAAAATTAGCCCTTCAATTCTAGCTTGGTAAATTTTAACAAAGTTGGCAATTAACACATACAAGTCCAAAGGGTAATCAAAATTTAATCAGACACATCATGTTTTGACTTATTAAGTCATCATCATGCAACATGAAAGCCAAATGAGTGGTAATGTTTTGACTACTGAATTTAACAAATATTTAATACCCATCCTGAATTAGAACATCCAAGTCCAATTGGAGCTTCAAGTCTAAGGGTACGTTTGGTTTGCGGACAGGACCGGAATCGGAATCCATAGGAATCAAAATCAGAATCACCTATTCCTGTCATCTGTTTGGTTCAAATAGGAATCGAAATCGGATTTCGATTCCTGTTTTTTGGTTCAACTAGAAGTTGGAATTGGAATCAGCTAAAATTTCCAATTCTGCCCTAGTTAAAAGAACCTCAAAAACATCCACTAATTATATATTTTCAACATATACACACATTGGCAACCTGCTACCAAGTGCATATATGGAGAAAATATGAAATTAAGAAAAGAAAAACACATAAACAAACAAAAATCACAAAAAAATATCATTCTCCATAAAAAATGAGAAGAAAAATACATCTTCTATCTGGGATATGAGTCTCAAGTTCACAAATACACTTCTTCTCTCTGGAGAAGCAATATACCAAAAGAATAAAGTGAGTGGAAAAATGTGTTAGCTTGGATTAAGAATATTTGTATTTACACAAACTGCTCAACCAATATAACAACATGGGTTGATTTCAACCAGAAAATTCATACTTCTTTTTTGTTTATTTTAGGAGGGGTTGAAGACCATTCATTCCTACTTTAAAACAATATTGATGATGCAAATGAACATGTCAGTATTGTTGAAACATAAAAACAATTTTCCAAAATGATATGATAAAAGCATTGCTCGGTTAAATGGTAAAAACTCAGGTTGACAAGTATGAGAGGTTGGGTTTAAGTCTGAGAAAAACCACTTTGTGCAAGAAAATGTTGGAGGTAGGTTCGTATCCTCTCCACCCCTCCTGAGATCCCAGATAACCAGGATCGGCATTCTGTAATGATCCTAGAGGGAGATAAAAGCATCTTAACATTTCATATAACAAAGCTTTTTACTTCTTTATTTGTAATAAAATGAACTTTTAGTCAATTTCGTATTTCCATAAGAAATTGATATAGTCTTATATGGAAAAAAAATGAGACTCACCAAAGTGTACAACAGAACTCGAATTTGAACTTCTCGTAAACTTGTTTCCAGCACTATCTGTGCAGAAATCTTTATCCATTACCACTATCACTCGTCCATACTATACACTGGATGATAACCCCACAAGAAGAGAATATTTGAGGTAAGGCTGAACAATCCTCTGGGTGGATGGTATAACTTGCCCAGCGCCAAAAACAAGCAGCTGTATATAAAGAAGAGGGTATCTGTAAGAGTTGTTTAAATGTTGTTGTCAAACTAAAGCAAAAAATCGATTGTTAAAAGCTACTCAAAAATGGTAGTTATTTGTAATTTGCAAATATTGTTACTTCCATATACATCCATTAAAAATTATTATTGACAGCAAAAGCATCTTCCCTTCTTTGACTGGTGGCATCCAAAGCAGATGCCTTCTCTTATTATAGGGAAAGGGAACAGATGGGTCTTCCAAAACAATGAAGCATCTTTTAGAACTCAAGAGTCCAAGTTTTCTTTCTCCTTAGTGCTTTGGTTACTTGCCAAATCGCATGGAGATCTTTCGGTCCTCTTTTGGTGGGCCTACTTGACATGCAGCCTTTCCCCCTCCTATCCATGGTGAGTCTTCTCAGATTTGATGTGGGTTCTCAGTCAGTTAGAGGACCGACTGGCAATGTGTAGAGGGAGGGCTATATAATGCCAATTGGAGTATGTATGAAGCTCACAGTGGAGCCATGGGAGATAAAGGCACAACTAAAGTGAAGTGACAATCCTTCTTATGGGACCATATATTGCCAAGTACCCACAAAAAAAATAAAATAAAAACTTGTTATAGAGCTCATAATGCAGTTTTTATAGATGGCCTAGCTATTGAATGGGATCAAGAAATTCTACAAGGCATGAATATTCAAACTAGGTGGATCTTCGCTCTAGTGAATTGAACTTGGCTTCTTGATTGTAGGTAGTTGGCCAAATAAAGCTTTTGTATAGGGGCAACTCTTTGCCCAAGTAGTTTTTAGCTAATTTGCTTGTTTGTACATCCTCTTAGGTAGACATCTTTTTGCCATGCAGTATAATATTTCCCTCAAGAAAAATTATAAGGAAAAAGAAGTTTCTATAAAAACAAAACCATAAATTTGATTAAAAGGTATATCCTAACAAAAATAAAAGTAAAACACGAGTGATTAGAAGCATCGTTTAAAGTATCGATATGATACGCCCCATATCGGGCGTATTGTATCGTATCTTTTAAAAAAGATATACTTTATAACACCTGTTTCTAGGTGTTTCGGAACCCCAACTTTTTTTAATAATAAAAAACATGTTTTTATCTTTCCAAAAAACAAAATTTGAAAAAAAAAAACAAAAAAAAAGAGTTTCAGGTGTTTCTAATTACTAATACGATACTGTCGATATGTGTATCGTATCGTTACTTTGAACCTTGATTAGAAGCTTGATAAATTTATTCGGCCACCTACTCACATTGCAACTGTTCACAGATGAGCACCCAAAACCACTGCCACCAGTGTAGGGTCCACTAAAAAAAATATCTATGGACACATTTAGTGCATTTGTAAAAGATTTTGAAGCAGAACATATGCGGTAGGCGGGATTTTATCTGTAGGAATAAAATAAAAATAAAATTAGCAACCTATTCAACAAAAGATAAATCTAATTAAACTTCAAAAGTTATACCATTAGGCCTCATTCAATGTTCTATTATGTCCTTCATACCCTTTAAACAATCATGCCTTCTTTTATCTTTTTGTCAATTCACCAAGTTTAAATGAAACTTAAAGGTGAGTGGAAGTTTATTCTCAGACTTGAATGCCACTTCACAGAGTATTTGACCCATTTACAAAACCTAAATTTTTCAGTAGAAAATATAAACAAGACTCAAAAAAGGATAAAGGATAGTTTCTTAACCAACAGTCCAGTTATAGCTAGCACAATCGACTCCTTGAGATCCATTGATGCAAACCTCAAATGTGTGGTTCCCATCATGCAAGCTCATATAAGAAACCTTCCTGGTTTTGCAATCAGAAGAGATTTGGCCATCTAGCTACATAGCATGATCATCATATTAAGTGAACATGGAAACCAAAAGAAGGAAACTCAACCAACTTGTTATTATAATGTATTCAAGCCAGAATCTTCATGTCATGGGGTAGCAAAAATAATCGAACATAGAGGCAGATCTGCAAAAATAGATCATATTCTAGGGAATAACTCATTAATGGCAGTAGTGAAAAACAGATCAATCCCAAATTAGAGTAGGGGCGGATCTACAAAAAATAAAAATCATATTGTAGTGAGTTAAAAGAAAAAAGGAAGAAGGAAGAAGGAGAGGAGGAGGAAGAAGGGAAGAAAAAGATCCTGCATCAGAGAAGATTTCAGATCTCGAATCAAAGAATGTGCGGTTGATTTTGAAGGAGGGGAAGAACCGAAGAAGAATGGGTTGGTGGCAATCTTACCTCGTTGGAGGGTGGTCCGACAACGACGAGTATACTAATTTGGAAGGAGGGGAAGAACTGAAGAAGAATGGGCGCTTCTTCCTCTCTTCCTCTGGTCGATTAGGGTTGGAAACAATGGGGGTATTTTTGTCAAAAACAGATAATAAAAAACATAAACCGGAATGGGAATGGCATTCTGCCTAGAATGAGAATGGAATTCCCATTCTGTTTAACCAAACATCCAGAAAGGGAATGAACCATTCTGATTCTCATTCCAAACTCCTATTGCCTTGAACCAAACTGACCCTAAACTTATTTTCCATTTTTGTGAAAAATCATAGTGAAAAGTAGGAAGAGAGAAAGTATTTAAATAGATACATCCAAATATACCTGACCTAGGTTTCACCAAAAGATTATTACAAAGATAAAACAATGAAATTCTAAAAATAAGAAATTTGAATATTATTAGCTAGAGGATTATTACAAAAAGTGATATGTTATTATAATTAATTGCTTGAAGCTATTTTTGCTAACCATTACCAAGTTCAGAGGTTTACACAAAAAATTAAACATAAATCCCCTTATAAATAAGTACATAGATAGACATTGTTCAAAGTATCCGAATATTCTTTTGTACAACTTGCAAAATATTATACCACTACCTAGAGAAAATACAATCATTATCAAAGTATATGGATAATTTTTTGCACAACATGCAATATGTTACACCACTACTTACAGAAACTATAGACATTACCAAAGTGTCTGAATATTTTTTGCACAACTTGCAAAATATTATAACACTACTTACAAAAAATATAGTCATTACCAAAGTATTTGAATTTTTTGCCCAATTTACAAAATATTACACCATTACTTACAGAAAATACAACCATTACTCAAAAAAAATCGAAAGTGTAAGACATGGAAACCTTGATAGGTGTACCAATAATGACCATTTTCTCCACACTGACTACAATGCACTTCCATTTTTTCAATTAGTTGTGATTCAATTCTTTTAATCGTAGGTTGACTAGGTTGATATTTTTGCTTAGGTGGCAACATGTTTACAACATTATGATTAACACTATTGCTCATAGAAGAAAATGACTCATTACTAAAATCAGGCATATCTAATTAGGCATATATGTGCTCTGAGTAAATTGTCTGTTAAGTTTCTTTCAAATAGCACTCTTCAACAAAATTATAAATGCTTAGGCTTAATAAACCAATGGCACATCATGCATGCACAAATGATAGCCCAACCATTTGCCATGCCTTACATGAACAACTTCTAGAAGTCAAGTGCACCATTTTCGATTTTCACTTTGTGAATTTCAAATTCATCAACCCCACATTGTGTGTACCCCAAATTTATAGATTCTGATATGTTAAACTTAAGAAAATCCTCTATATTAGGGCCTATTGTTTATATCCTTTAGCTTCACATTGCCTCCTAAATATCAACTTTATCATTTTCAAGTGAATTGTGTTAACCAAGGACATAATAGATTGTTTTTGTGCCTCTAACACCCATGCACTAAATAACTGCAAGATTAGATGTAAACATGTCATACAGACTAACCTTGAATAAAGAATTTTCCTAGTGTGATGGATCACTACTTATCCAATCATAGATATCTATATTCTAATTATGTATTTTATTGAGATAAAGATCAAACTCCACAGTATCCATTACATAAATTAATTGATTTACATACTCCTCGATTACCTCTTTTCAGCCATTGATAGGTGTAGACAGTGCATGTTTCCCTTAAGGTTATCCATCACAAAAAGCATGATATTTAGGGTCAAATACAATCTTTAAAAACAATTATTAGCTTCCAATCAGCATTCAATGCAATTTCCAATTTCTCTAAAAACCAAGTCCAATCTAGAATTGACTCAGATAAAACAACTGCAAAAGCAACTGAAAACATTTAATTATTGGCATTATATGCATTAGGAACTAATAATTGTCCTTAATAGTTACCCTTTAAATGGACCGCATCAATGAATAGCATTGGACAACAACCAACTTGAAAGCCATGTAAGAAAGAGTGGGAAGCAACAAATAATTGATTAAATTTTCCAAAATCATCAATGGTAAAAGTAACAATTATTCATAATTACTTTCAATCAACTTTTTACACAACTAATGAATAAGCTTATACGAATCATTTATAGAGCTATTAAGCAAATCTTTAGCTCTCACTTTCCCTTGCCATACTTGTTTATAAGCAACTCTTTAATCAGAACTAAAATCCTTTATTATATCTAATGGAAGATACTCGGGGTATTACGATGCTTTTCAAATATCACAATACTTATCAATTTATTTGATCTACGATGTTGATAACTTAATTCATCACCAACTGAATGTATATGTACAGGATGATTATTATATACCTTGTATGTTGGTCCACCACTAATTGCACTTGCTCGGATTTTGCATCCATAGGTTTCGACAATACATTTAAATTGTATGTATTCTCTATTATTCTTTAAAAACTTATATAAAAATGTTTACATAAATCCAACTATCTTATGCTCCCAAAGAGATGACAAATTAGCATAATTGCTATTAAGCTTAATTGTTGGTCGTCTAGAAGATGTTGCTAAATCATTGCCACAATTTTGTACATTGTGTGAATGACGATTTGAATAAGTTTTAACATTCACTTTCTCTATGTTCTTCCAAAATACATGCACGTTTGCACTCTCTTTATTAAATTCTAACATATTTGAAAGGTCACGTGGCCCATTTAATGGAAAGAAGCATGTTTTGTTGAGATATATTGTATAATGTAAGTTCACGCTATTATGGTCAACCTTCAAACCACCACACACTTCATCAACAAGTTCATTAAAATCTATTTGACTATCAACACAAACCCCAATTATTGCATCATCAAAAGTGTAATAATATAATACTACCTTGTATGGAGTTGTTGCCATTTCTACACAATAAACAATTTGAAAAGTTTGTCATAAGTTAGAAGAAAGACATGAATATGTAAATTTAAATGAAGAGAGTATATGATCTTATAAATATTACGAATCATAGATCACTTTATCATTATGAATTATTCAATCCATATTGATCTTATATCCCACCCTTTTTTCCTCTATACATGATCAATTTTTTTCCTTTATCCTTTTTTTTCACATGAGAAAATTCATTGAATATTCTAATCACCATTATCACTTAGATTTTATGTTGTAGTAGTAAGATTTTGATTTATATTACAGAATAGTGTAGGTTATTCTATACTCAAGCTCCTTACATTACCCCAATACTTGGTAAAAGTTCACTACGATGGGGCTGAGTTGTCAATTAAATTAATTAGTAAGGTCATGACAAACTCTATGATCACTAATGGAGGATCCATCATTGACTTGAAATGAATAAGATAATGATCACTAATGTTTTCATCTATCTATACCAAACTAGGTAAAAGTTTTACTAGGTCAGTAGCTAGAGCAACAAAGATCAATTTGGGATAGTATGTGAAGTGTTACCAACACATTGTAACTTGTACCCTTCATCAACACTTGATGTTCTTTTTTGTGAAACCCAAGTGAAGACTATAAACCACCATCTTCATTTTCACCACCATGAAATCATTGGGAAAAAAGAAAACCTTATGGTCATGCCTAAAATGTACTAGCTAATGTATGACAGAACAATGCAACACCAAAATGGTTTTAAAGTGCAAGAAACGATGCTCACACTCAATAAGTTTTCAATTCACCCAGTTACAAGGCTAAGGTTTCTTGAGGAGGTCAAGGGTTATAGAAGGGGATGGCGCCTAGTTCTTGTTAGGAGGGGTTCTTGCAATCTGTTCAACCATTCTACAACTACTGCCACTAGATTTTATCAACCATTATTTTCTTTTCTGTTATTTTTATTTCTGCAATCTTTTAGATTTAATTCTTGTTCGTTTCTTTGTTTTGTAGATCTGAATTCGTTTGATTCAAGGTTAAGGTGTCTCGAGGGGTTCAAGGTTTGTAGAAATGACGGACACCCGGTTCTTGTCAGGAAGGGTTTCTAGAAGCTATCTGGCCGATCTACAACTACTGCCACCGGATCCGGATTCTGGGTCATTTTTTTTTTATTTATTTCTTTTATTTCCTTTGTTGATTCCCATACTTTATTAAATTCTAAGTTTTATTTATTGTCTTGTTTAAATTCAAAACATTTAATTTCTACAATAATAGATTTTATTTTCATATTTTCTACCATTCCCGATTGCATTCTCTTGTCCGAATCTAAGTATATATTAATTTTTCACTTGCTTCCCTGTGGATACGACCCGTTCTCACCCATTTACTACGTTAGTAGTTGTTTGAGAATCGAAAAAAATTTATAAATATTAAACTGGTGTTCCAAAGTGGTTAACGACATGCTTCTGCCAACACCAAGTTTTTGGCGCTATTGCTAGGGAAGCACGGAGAAAAATTTTTATTTACTTTTTCCGGATCTGTTTCATTATTTTTTCTTTTTCATTTTATTACTTGATCCGTTATCTCAGTTTAGTTCTTGTTTCTCTTTGATTCTATAGGACGGAATACCAAAAGGTGGGGTACCGGAGCGTTATGGGATTGCGGGACGAAAGAGAAGATAAGAGAAATTGGATTGCGTTTCAGGTGTAGTCGTTCTATTTTATTTTTAATTTTCTTATTTTTATTTCCAAACTCTTTTTTAGGTAGAATAGTGATTTTTGAATTTTTTGAATTAATTTTTTTCTAGATTTGCTTTTTTTAGTATTATTTTGCTTCCATTTTGTTTCTAGATCTATTCTTCTTTCTTTATTTTAATTTCTTGTTTGTTTTTTTTATGTTTTATTAGGTTTGTGTTTTTATTTTATTTCAGATTAAAAAAACAAAAAAAATCATTTACTTTATTTTATTTATTTCTTGTAGCAAAATTTTCTTTTGTTTATTTTATTTTATTTTATTTTGGGTTTAAATTTTAGATTCGTTTTTTTTTCTTTTATTTCAGATAAAAAAAAAACAAAAAAAAAGAAATAAAAAATTTTCGTTTATTTTATTTTATTTATTTTTGCAGCATATTTTTCTTTCACTAATTTTATTTTCGTTTTAATTTTTAGATTTGT